ATGACTGTGAGTCTTTAAATGAGATTGTACATAGAATTACACAATTACTAAATAACAACAAAGGAGTGTAACAGGCCCTAGATCTGTAGATCGTGTCTCCAAACTTTAAAGTGGAAGAAGGGTCGATTGTCGTCGTCGAGAGTCTGCTGCTGCCCTGCTATGATCTCTAATGCTTGCCTTCACCCTCGTTGCTTTGGCCGAGTCACATTAACTCGCTACTCAGTATACAGTGAGCAGTTGTATACACCTTCATTTAGTTATAAAAATCGCTCCAAATTATGGTAAAATAACTTAAAGTTCTAGAATATTAGTGTATTCTATATGATGGAAAAATATTACTTGTAGGAATTGAATAGACAAAAATATGACCAATTATTACATGGACAAAAAGTGATTTAATATCACATCTCGTCGACCCCGTGCCCATCTCCTTCATTGACTACTAGAGCACCAGCGACCAAATCCTCCTATCTCCTTCATCGTCTACCATGAGGCGAGCGCCAACAAAGTCGGCAGTGACTGCATGCATTTGAAGATGACAACTACCGCAGTAAAGACGACCACGACCACAAGAGGCGACATTGATTCTCCTCCTCCTCCTCCTCCTCCTCCTCATTGGCGTTGTTCGCCAACTTCATCGCTCTCAACATGTACATCAACGACTCTGATTATTAATTGCAAAGGGGCTAGGGGCTGGGACGAGGCATGGCTGTGGTTATTGGGGTTGCAGCGAGTCACAAAGTGGCTATGGGTTATAGCCATTTGCAGAGGGGCTGGGGCGATGTTGGGACGGGTCATGTGATGGCAAGGCTGGGTGGCGCTGGGTGGGGTTAACACTTGACGGGACAAGGAAGTTGTGGGGGAGCAGGGGAGGGGGGTGGGGTAGGGGGCCGTATGCAATCTCACCCATAGGGAGTGATGTCGGCGATGTCGGTGGCGGCAGGGTGACAATTTTCAGAGCAGAAACTATGGACTGTGGAGGTTGTATATCATTTTGACTAGAAAAAATTGTCAGAAAATTTTCCAACGACACAATGACACGTTTCATGGCGACAGTGACATCTGAAAGTGACATGAAGGATGAAAGCCGGCAGTGACATTCAAAAAGAACATAAAATCTAGTAATAACATATGAGAGTGACATAAAAATTGAACACTGACATGTATATATTTGGTACTAACGTTATGTTTTTTCAAACATATGAAATTCTTAGTCACATATTATCCTTTTATAAAATTTGTAACATTTTCAATTTTTTTTAATTTAGCAATATTTAAGGCACAAGTCCAAAAGTAATTCCTAAATTGTTTGGAGTTTAGAAATGTTAAAATGCTACTCCCCTGTCACGCTAAAATTGTCTTATTTTACTTTCGGTCCGTCCACTAAGACTGCCTCATACCAAATTTGAAAATTTTGTGTGACTTTAAATCATTCTTACTTTATCAATTCGATATCAACCACAAAAATAAGTTTTTTATTTGTTTGTGTGTCATTCGCTCATGTTCTTTTTTCAGTTTTCCAGCAATTTTTTTTTGTGAACACGTTTACTGATTTTCTTTTTCCAATTTTCTGTAAAAATGGAAAATATTTCTGCCAGTAAACAACCTCTAACATCGGATTTTTACATTGTTTCTACTACTACTAGTATCTTTTCAAAAAATATCCCATAATTATGACATTTAATAGAAATATTTTAAACCTGAATGGCTGAATGTACTTTAATTTAATTTTCAAATGAAAAAAAAACACAGTACTCCGTTATGACGCAACAAGCGCACACTTGCCCTTTCTAGAACTTTCCACAGCTTTCTGGTCCATGCTGATGAAGATTTCCAGATTAATCTGCCCTCTCCGGGAGTCTTATTTCCATGCCAAGCTCCGCATATTGATCAATCAATCATTCACGCGACGTCCTAAGTGCTTCGAATTTCTCTGAGAATAAAACGAAAGAGAAAAGGCAAGATTGAAAACGTGAATAAGAGAAAGAGATCGGAGGTTGAAGAAGACATGGGGGTAGACTACTACAAGATATTGGGTGTCGATAGGAACGCTAAAGACGATGACTTGAAGAAGGCTTATAGAAAGCTCGCTATGAAGTGGCACCCCGATAAGAATCCCAATAACAAGAGAGATGCTGAAGCCAAGTTCAAACAGATCTCCGAAGCTTATGATGTATGATATCTCTGCCCCTCTTTCACTTCCCACATCTTTTCTATATATGTTGCGAATTAGCTTTCAAATTATCTTCACTAGTTTGTGTGCAGAAGTACAGCTTCGTTCGTTTGATATGTTCTACGAATCTAAACTTGATATTCGATTTTTGGCTTTCCTTGATTAATTAGGTTTAATATTTCATTAAAGCTCATGTTTTTGTATGCGTAAATTCATTAGGTTCTAAGTGATCCTCAGAAAAGGGCTGTTTACGATCAGTATGGTGAAGAGGGACTCAAGGGTGGTGTACCCCCGCCAGGTGCTGCCGGTCCTGGTGGTGGTGCCTCATTCTTCTCCACCGGAGATGGGCCCACCACATTCAGATTTAACCCTAGGAGTGCTGATGACATATTTGCTGAGTTCTTTGGGAATTCTAGCCCATTCGGAGGAATGGGGGGTGGTCCTGGAATGAGTCAATCAAGGTTCGGAAGTATGTTTGGGGATAACATATTTTCCTCCTTTGGTGGGGACGGTGGTGTACCCATGCACCAATCAGTGCAGAGGAAAGCACCTCAGATTGAACAGACTTTGCCCTGCAGTCTTGAAGATCTCTACAAGGGCACAACCAAGAAAATGAAGATTTCTAGAGAGATTGCTGATGCTAGTGGGTAAGTAGATTTCCTATTTCAATTGTCAGTCATCTATTTATAGCATTTACTCTTAAGGGATAAGTTTCTTTTTAGTTTTGTGTATTACTAAAAGTGAGTGTTTAATTTGTTCTTCTGTGTTGCTGAACCATCATTGCATATGTGAGCCTGAGTAATTGCCTGTATTATGTCAACTATTATTGAGTGCCATTACGTAGTTATTATGAAGATATAAATCTACTTGCAGAATTCCAGAAAGTTGTTTACTGGTATTGCATATTTGCATCTTCTGTATGGAGTTCTTGGTTTGCGTGGCTCTAATTCTTTGGATGAAAAGAAAAAGCAAAGGTCTTTGCTAGTCTGAAGATATTGCCAACAAATTGCATAATTGCATGGTATTTGAAAGAAGACATTACATAGGCCTAAGTTAAGTAGTAAATCAAATAGCGAAGGCCTTTGTCATCTTGCAGTGCGGAAAAAGAGGGCGTTTGGTAAAGCTGTTTCATAAAATGCTTTTTGGTTTGAGGATATATGTGGTGAAAAGTGGGATTCCTAACAGTTTTTTTATTGTGCTTGGATGGATTTCTTACAAAACATCTTTTAGAATCATGTAAAATACTTGTATAATGTTTCAAATGCATTTTTTTGAAAAGTGATTGAAAAGGAAAATATTTGTGTTCGAGGTTCTATTTGAAGGGTCAATTTTTAAAACAAAAAGAACTCTGAAACCAAGAAGCTACAATGTAAATTCTTCTGTTGAGCATCATGTGGTCTCCAAACACTTGGCGCATGACCTCCTCCATTGAAATAAAGTTTCTGTGCCAGAAAGTTTGGACAAACCCCTAATCTCTTGATGTTGTTGAAAATATTTCTGGTAAAACTCTACCTTTAGTGCGATATATCAGTTTCTCTCTTGACTAATACTTTCGACACAAATGTGTTTTTTTGCAGAAAAACAATGCCTGTGGAAGAGATTCTAACCATAAACATCAAACCAGGGTGGAAGAAAGGAACAAAGATCACCTTCCCTGAGAAAGGAAATGAGCAACCAGGCATTACCCCAGCAGATCTAGTCTTCATAATTGACGAGAAACCTCATAAGGTATTCACACGTGATGGAAACGATTTGGTTTTCACTCAGAAGATAACTCTTGCAGAGGCATTGACTGGCTACACTGTCCATCTCACCACTCTGGATGGCAGGAACCTAACCATTCCTATCAACACTCCAATTCACCCGAATTACGAGGAAATTGTCCCTAGGGAAGGTATGCCCATCCCTAAAGATCCAACGAGGAAGGGAAACTTGAGAATTAAGTTTGACATCAAGTTTCCTACTAGGCTGAATGCTAGTCAGAAAGGCGGGATTAAAGAACTGTTAGGTTCTTCTTCTGTCTGAGAATGATGGCAGATCCCATGAGATTATATGTACCATTAGAGTAGGAGAGTGGGTTGTTTTCTTGCACTGTGTTTGTTTGAAAGATTTATGGAGCATTCAAGTTTTCTGTCCCATTTACCTAATTTTCAAGTACAGTCAGTGGTCACAAGCTTCTCCATTCTTCATCTTTGAGATGAAATAATTATAGAAGCAACAATAAAAACAGATTAATTTTGCAAAAAAAATACCTGCTTTAGTTTTCAGTATCCTAATCCTATTATTGTATTATAGGAGTTCATTGTTGTACTATTAGTCTTTCAATATTCCTTGTGACCCTTTTTTATTTCATTATTTTTTTTCCAATTTGTTTGTAAGTATCTCACGCTTTTTTATGTAAATAGAAAATGAAATTTTCACTTTATTAAAAAACCATTCAAAAGCAAATATTATAGAAATAAGTTGGGGATTGGATGTTGTTTTATCTACGTACTTGAATTCTAATTGATATTGCCTTGGTTATATCTTAGTCCTTTCCAGGGTTACATACAATATTGGTAAGTGATACGTAGTAAGATTTAGTGCCCCCTGACTACTATACGAAGATTCACAGGCTATTTGGCAAGGGTTGTTTGGTTGGGAAAGGGAAGTACGGAGTATATGTTTAGTAACGTCCATTTTAGTGTAGAATTAGCGGAATCACCAAACAAACTCAAAATTGGGTAGAACTCGAACCTCATTGACTTCTAAACTTTTCCACATTGCTTTTATTTTGTTAATTAATGTATGGGTATTGCAGAAATTGATGTACTTATATTATGTTGGAGTGTATTAGGATTTAGTAGTACATCGTGTATTTTTATGTAGGAAATCATTTGCATTTTAACCAGCTAAATGTAGAAATTACTTAAAATAAACATTACACATTCCCCTCCTTTTCCCTTTAAAACCTTGAACCAAACAAGCCTTGGGTGTTAATCGCGGGAGAGAGGGAAACCAATTCCATGGCGTTTGGTGGGGAATGCAACAAAAAAGAGGCTGCATACGAAGCCAACACCGACTGGCAAAATTGAAAGAAGCTCTTCCGTCTCCGGGGATGGCGAAGGGTACAAACAATTCACAACGTTTTTATCAAGCAAAGCAGTCGCGGCAAAAACCAAGACCGAGTTGAAGGCGTGGAAGAAATCCAACAACCTTATCCTGTGTTTGGCAGCCTCATCCGGGGACAATGTGACGGAAGACAAATCAAGAATGAAGAGCCCATGGAATGTGGCAAGCCCGTAACGGACTTTTCCCCTCTCGTCCCGGAAGCTATCGGTGAAACATAGGAAGAAACAAGAGATGGCACATCCGACGAGAAGAGCCACGGTCATTGTTTGGCTCACCGCAGATATGCATTTGCCTTCATGTGTGAATGCCGGGGCAAGAATCTGGAATGCCAAAACTGTCCCTGTGGGGAGGAGGTTAGCCAAATGTGCTGTCCCTTTGAAGGCCTTTCTCACCACTTTCTGGGATGGCGTTTTCTTGGGTTTTGAATCTGTTTCTTCATCTTGTAACAATGGCAAGCCAACATGCTCTTGTTCCTCCATTGTTTTGATTTTGTATGCAATCTTATAAGCTTATGGTTTGAAATAAAGTTTCAAACCAGGCGAAATCAACCCAGATTTCTTTTTCCAAAACTGTTTGTGATGCAAATGGTGATTGGGTTTGAAAAGGTTTATATAAATGGATTGATGATGGACGAGAAACAAGGAGCGCGGGTGTTTTTGTTTACGCCTCATACAACATTCTTTCAGATTTGATGTTAAACCAGAATTTGTTCAATAGAGAGTTTTGAATAATAATAATAATAATAATAATTGTAATATTATTAAATATCTTAGACTACTTTGTGATACATTTCAAACTCGTACGTGATACATTTTCTAACTCAGTGTCCAAACAACTCTTTTAATATAAATTTTGTACAATTTTTACGACACTTTTTCTACGATTAGAAATCAAATAAAATTACAAATTACATATGTTACTAGTGGTTAGTATATGTCTAGTAAGTGCATTTTTAATTTGTATGTTTAGAACTAGCTAGTAGATGTAACAAATAAAAAAAATACGTAGTAATAAACAAAGATTATAACAGATATATAATATAACAAAAAAGTTGTACTAATAACAAACAAGAGTTACAAAATTATATTTGATCAAACGGTACGCCTTAGATAATCGATTTCATCTTATTTGTGATCATTTCAAGATTGATTGATCCAGTACAAAGATATTACTCGTCGATTTAAAACACATTTAAATCCATATTACAAGTTTAATTTGGTACAATCCTTATAGTGTGGCAAGAGGTGGTATTTTCAATTTTCGGTTACTGTACTTATGTAGTTATGTAACTATGTGAAATAATTAATACGGATTAATTACTCATCGCCAATCCGTGGTATTTGGAGTTTCAATTCATTTGAATTGAATGCTTTTCATCGTGTTTGTATATCTGCGGAAAATTGCTCAAGCAAACAAACAACCTTCCCTCTTCATTAACATTGTGATGAAGTTAACGTAAATTATTACCCCAGTCTAACAAGGTCATATTTGACGAAATTGTAATTTTTATTTTTATTTCCATAACATACAATATGTGCTTGAAATAATGGCCGTAAGAAGAGTCTTGATAGGGGACAATTGGAGTACGAAGAAACGAATTTGTGATACACTTCACATCTATTCTTTTGGTTGCGTCTAAATCACATAACCTCCTCGTGTAACAATTTTAGTGGACAAAACTAATAGCAAACATTAGAATTTAAATAAGAACATACTTGATTGTAGATGACATTTTTTGTAATCTTATTTGTTGTCGTCACATATGACGAACTTCAAGTCAAATGGATTTGTCACCCTCAAAACTTGAATCTCGTCTTAAATAAATGATAGGATCACTCAGACATTTTCCATTTCAACAAATGTCAGAATAGTAATTTTCAAAAAGAACATAGTTTAAGAGTGAAAGATTCGTTTCATCAACATCCAAAGGCTCCAAGATTGTGTCAAATCCTCAAATCATATGAAAATCTGAGATAAACAAATTAAAGGAGATCTGGTAGACCTTGATGAAAAAGATTCTAGGAATGGTAGACCAGTTCAGATCAGACCAGACCAGCAAATTACAGTCCAAGTAAAAACATCCTTACAATGTGAGCAAGGGCCACAATTACATGTACCCGGACAATTGAGGGACAACATTTACACACTTGAAAACACAGGAACTGCATTTCATTATCGTCAATTTTTGAGGGATGGCAAATGTGATTTTTATTCGAACTAAATTTATTTTTTGTCAATTCAAGTAAAGAATCTAAGCTAAAATCTTATAAACACCAATGAAGGTTATGACATTTTCAGTAGAAGAAATGTGTTGGTGTAACCCATGTGCTTATTTGAGTTGCACACTACACTGCAATGTTGTACTTTTGTAATAATATGATCATCTCTCTATCTTCTCACCGTTAATCATCCTGACCTTGAATCGTCCTGTAAGCTCAATTAAGTTCATGACCTAAAAAAAGGTTCAATCCACACCCTAAACCGACAAACAATGGTTCAAATTTTCATTTTTTACGGGTAAATAACCGGTCATTTTTTAATAGTTTACGCGTGCGTAATGGACCTTTTTTACCGGTTGTTTAACCTTAAAAAAATGAAATTTGAACCCTTTTTTGCCGGTTCGGGGTAGGCCTGTCAATGGGTCGGGTCTAGACCCGAACCCGACCCGGGTCCATCTTTTTTTAATCAGTATGGGTCTATATTTTTTCCCGTTACCCGGACCCATTATTAAATGGATCAGGTATGGTATATGTGGTTCCGACCCGTTTAGGCCCCGACCCATTTATATATAATATATATGTATATATATATTACTAGTTATGCAACGTGCGTTGCGCGATAGGAAAATGCCCGATATAATTTTCTATTGTGTTAATATAAAATACGATATATATGTTATTGAATAGTAAAAGTAATTTGTAAAAAATTGCATACGAAAACTTTGTTAGTATATGCATTATTATTAATATAATGAAAATGTATTAGAATAAATTCCACTTTTGGTCCTATGAGTTTTAGGTCAATTCCACATTTAGTCCACATCTTTCACTTTGTCCACTTTTGGTACATGACTATTGTGTTCTCGCCCACATATGGTCCATCCAGCATTTTTTCCGATGGTTAAAGTCGCCGGAAAAAGATCACAAATGGTTAAAAAAATATTAGTCAAGTACCAAAAGTGGACAAAGTGAAAGACGTGAACTGAAGGTGAAATTGACACAAAACTCGTAGGACCAAAAGTGGAATTAATTCAATGGATTATATGCATTAAAGTGGTTGCATTTACGACATAAGTAGTGGAACAAAAGTTGGCACATATACAAAGAATGTTTTCAAATAAATCTTTACGTGTAACTTTTTACACTAAAAATACAAGTTTTTTCAAAGTTATGTGGGCTAGGGCCCGGTCAGCCCCCCTCACGTCCACTCCTGGTTGCATTGTTACAATTGTGAGCTAATATCAGCAAACTCGTTGAAATATGAGCTAATATCACATGTCTAATTACAATATTACGGCCCTGATAAATTCGAAGGTACTTCATTGTCCCTTAAAATTTTGTCGAATTTTTTAGTCAATCAAGTTTAACTTTTATCTATTCAATATTTTCATAGAAAGTTATTTATAATTAAAAAATTATATGAAAATGTTGTTTATTAAAAATATTTTCATAAAAATATAAATTTTATAACCCATAAATTTATATTGATCAAAATTATTGTCCAAACCTTTTCACCTTTCACGTCAAAGATAACAAAATTATAAGAGATGGTGTAGTATAAACTCAGCATAAATGATACTCCCTCCGTCCCGCAAAATAGTTCCCGATTTCTTTTTTGGGTCGTCCCAAAAAATAGTTCTCATTTCCCCTTTTGGACACTTTTATGTGGTCCTCATTCATTTACCTTTTTCTTACACAACCACAACCATACATTTTCACTTTATTCCCACTTTCTTAAACTCCGATCCAAGTCAATGCGGGAACAATTTTATGGGACGGAGGGAGTAAAATTTGACTACACTTCAATTTCCCGATGGACGTTTTTCCAAATTATGAAAAGTTTGTATTGAAATAATCCACAATTAATCTTTGAAAATTTTCACACCATCATATCTATAATAGCAGGCAAACAATTGTGATAGACTTTCCTCCGTCCATAATTGCGGACTCATAAGAACTTGAATAGAGGAAGATCGATGGAGAAGAACTATATGCATGTCATGTTTGAAAATTGAATAAGATCATCATTGGAACCATTAATAATTACAAAATAAATCAAAGGGCAAAAGGTATAAGGGAGAAAATAGAAGATAGGCAGCTAGCGGATGATAACGGTGGGAGATAGAGATATAACGGAAAGATAAAGCATATTAATAAGGAGTACAAGCGACGAAGCTCAATGTTAAACTCAATTAAGCAGCTTGATTACACCAACATTTTTTCCATACCTAAATTACCCTAACCTTGATTCACAATTATAAGTTTGTATAAGATAGATGTCGCCCACATCATTATTAGTTAAGTTATATTGAAACACAAAGTCCTCAAAGAACTCAAAGTCCGCAGAGAACTCAAGAGGCCTGTTCAATTTCCTAGGCCATTAACTTTACTCTTTACCCTAATATAATACTACGTACTATCGTATCTTACAAGTTCCTCTATATAAAGTATAACTGGCATAAACGGTAAAGAGGATCATTCCCTTACTGCTCGGTGCTCTTACTAAAAAATTCAAGGAGAATTAGGAGCTTCCAATTGAGATTGAAAGCTGCCGGGCTGCTATTGCTCACCGGTTATTATATTGTTGCTTTGGGTTGACTAATTACATTATAGTGCACCGTATTGTTCCCTAGAAAGTAATTGATAGTGGAAATCATGTTTTTTATTTAATAAGCTGGAGTTGGATTCTTGTGAGATGGGTCGGGTCTACCCGACCCGGTTCCGATACCCGATGGGTACGGGTACGAAACATTATTTCTAGACCCGCCGGGTATATGGGTCAGGTCTAGAACTGTATAGAGGCTAACGGGTCCGGGTGTGGAACACTACTTTCCGGCTCGGACCTGATATGTTGATAGGCCTAGTTCGGGGTGTGAATTGGACCTTTTTTTAGTTCAGGGATTGAATTGAGCTTACACGACTTGTATGAGCCTATTTGACCTAGCTTTAGCCTTATTAAACCGATAACTTTCGTCTTCCTGCCAACTTTGCCGCTCACACAGTCACACGGCTGTCCTTAATCCTCATGATCGGATCATGGTCTTGGATTTGCAATCTGGTGGCCATTTGACCCATGGCTATTACACCGTTGGGGGAATAAGATCTCGGCCACCTCGCGCGATTTACATCAAGAGCATTCCGTACAAGGATAATTCAAACACCTGTTATTCCTATTTCATATTAATATTTTGAGCATTACTTAAAGAATCAACTAGTTTTGTTTCATATATTAACTATTACTAGAATCGATCGATTAATACGCTTGTTATTAATTCGGTCCTTTCATGGTAGTAAACTTGGGTTGTTAATGCATGTGTCACGTGGTTAATAACCGAAGGGGAATTAATTATATTGATTAAAC